ATTCTGCTTAATTTACCTTGGAATTAAGCATGATTTCAGGAGCTCGATACCAGCGAGTGGCAACATACTCTGTTAAGAATCCTGTGTGATCGTGGTCTGGATCAGCAATTCGGGCTAAGCCAAAATCACAGATCTGTAAGAAGAGAGAGAACCATGGACTGGCAAGCCCCAAATAAATATAAATTAATTGCACTGCAGAATGAAGCAGAAAGAGATTGTTGCCAGGTGCAGAAGGCCTAGCAAAAGATTTAGAATGCCACCTTCAGGTCACATGTGGTGTTGATGAGAAGATTGCTTGGTTTCAAATCCCGGTGAAGCACATTGGCAGAGTGAATGTATTTCAGCCCTCGAAGAATCTGATAGAGAAAGTAGCAGATATGGTCATTGCTGAGCTGCTGGGTCTTCAGAAGCTTATAGAGATCGGTCTCCATCAAATCCTGAACTATATATCTGAAAAAAGACAAACAATACCCTCTCCACCAGGAAAGGAGAAGGAAGGGAAGCTGTCAAGGAAAGTAACTTCCTGCAAATAATATAGAAGGAAACATCTACAGAAGTGATCAAATAAATGACAATAGTAGCCACAAATTGAGTTTGCTTTTAATAGCTCAAGCCAGAAAGAGCCATAACTGAAGCCAGATTCACACCAGATTCAATTCATCTCTTGTGTAAAGTACATCATCATCACTTTACCAGCTGCTGTATAAAAACAAACAAAGGGATGTGACTGAAGAAGCATTCTTAATTTTAGAGGACATAGGAGAAGAAGAGACAACTGTTTCATAAGTCCAATTATTAAGAAAGCAACACCTGGAGCCATGCCAGGAGGCAAATGGAAGCCAGCCCAGATGCTGGCATAATCATACCCTATTTTACATCATTATATTCAGAATGAGCTAAAGCTTATAAGTAGTGCATTTCATTAAAAATGGACCAGAATAAGATTGAATAGATAATAGAACATTTTCTCTATGCATACACCTTTCTCCAAGCAGATCTCCTTCCACACATGAAAAGACACAAGACTGGTCTGCAAGGATACACATCACGCATCTGATCAATGGTAGGTGCACGAAGAATGTCATTAATGCCAATGACATTTTCATGTTTGAAGCGCAGGAGTATCTTGATCTCTCGCAGTGTGCGTTGGCAGTATGTCTGGTGCTCAAAAGGACTGATCTTTTTGATTGCAGCTCGGATCTTGTTGACATGATCATATGNGCATTGGTTCAATTTCCGGGAGGTCTGCAGGAACTTGAGCTTTTTGTGGACTGTCCAGACTTTGAGTTGATGCCGGGTCCCCTCCAAATGATGTCTCCATCAAAATATGAAGCCTGGACATCTGGTGGTTGGCTGCATTGAAGGGTGTTTTAAAAGACTGTATAAAATGTCATGCTGCATTTCTGCATTTTTCCAGGCTGCAGAAGGAAAAGGGGGGGGGAGAGGGGCAGGAGATAGTGCAGACTGTGTAGGGACATTGCCCTCCTAACCAATCAGAAGACGCCTGTTTGCCATTACAAAGTTGTTAATCCCAGAGTCTTCTGGCTCCTTACTGCCTTTGCTTTTAATCTTTGGATATTTCTCAGGTTTACTCAAACACCTCCACCCCCCCACCCCCAATCAAAAACAACTGCAGACCAGGGAAAAGATACTGCATTTTCATTTGCAAATATTTTAAATATGTTGGAGGATTTTTTCGTTGCGTGGCGCTGCTTGTCTGCAAGCAAGAAACTGTACACAGACTATTTTGTTACAGTCGTGAAGAGGCAGCTGGCTGCTTTCTTTTGAGGTAAGTTTTCTAATCCATCTCACAGATACACACAAATATACAAAAACACGCATAAAAATGTCGAAATATTTCTTACATGCATGAATCAAATATAGACTTTTTTTCCCTTTGAGACATTGAGCGCTTTTAATTATGATGAACGTTGTTTGATTTATTTTGAGTTTTGATTTATTTTGAACAATTGTGTTACTGTCTTTATGGTAAATAAATTAGACCCTTGTACTTGAGTCTTTCATGGAACTGCGAAAAACACAGATCTTTTCAAGGTGGAGTTGGGAGTCTCCAGGGAGCATAATTGTGTCCAGAGCAGAACGTATGTATTTACAAAAGAGGAACAAAGTACATTGATAAAGAAACATGCTTCAGTTTATTTGAATTTGAGATTAATTGGGGAAAGGTTCCTTGGATTTGGTTGTTGAAAACTACCCAAGAAAACTGCCCTTTGTGTAATGGAGGAGATTGATATAACAGGGTTTATATTAAGTTATGTCTATTACTAAACATTGGCCTTTTTATTCACCAATCAGTTCCTTTTTGGTCACTTGTCTTAAAGCCTTCCTTATTTAAAGAATATGAATGACGGTACTTCATTTAGGTGTCATGTTCTTTTGAGAAGGTTCATTTAGGAAACATTTTGTAATTTTGGGCATTTTTCTATGCTTTTATATTTGTACATAGTGGGAAATCTTTTTTGTTTGCATTTATCTCTGTTGGTGTTGCTGTGGTGCTCCTAAACAATTTTTGGTCATTTTACCAAGAAAAGGGGGGTAGAGTAAGGTGGGGCAAGATTTTATCTATTGTATCATACTTTCTCCCCCCCCCTCCAACAAATACAGCTTTAAATACTAATGCATGCATTATAGTTTGGATCATGTACAATATATGCAATAACCAATATACTTGAAAATTAATGTTTTTATTTTCCATTTTTCATTTTCATACAGTCACATATATACTGTGC